CCCCCCAGTTCTCCGGGGTGAGTCCTACTACTGTCCTCACTTCACAGCTGAAAACTACCAGGCTTGGAGCGGTGAAGCATGGTGCCTGAGGTCAAACCGGGAAGTGGCGGAGCCAGGTCCCAACATGAGGACTTGGCCTCCAGCACCCAAGGAAATGACCACAGTGTGGACCAGGGCCAAGGTGGGCTCCAGCTGTGAGCAGGTGTACCAGGGGCTCTGCAGAGAAGCAGAGGGAGCAGTCCACTTGGTGCGGCCATCCTGACATTAACATCGACGCAGCTGACTTTTACGGATGTCCTCATTGCCTGCCTTTTTGTCCTCCACAAACACAGTCACTTTTTTTTTTTTTTTTTGAGATGTCATCTCACTCTGTTCTCCAAGCCAGAGTGTGGTGGCATTGTCACAGCTCACAGCAATCTCAAACTCTTGGGCTCACGTGATCCTCTTGACTCAGCCTCCCAAGTAGCTGGGACTATAGGTGCCCACCACCACGCCCAGCTAATTTTTCTATTTTTAGCAGAGATAGGGTCTTGCTCTTCCTCAAGCTAGTCTTGAAATCCTGAGCTCAAGTAATCAACCTGCCTCAGCCTCCCAGAGTGCTGGGATTACAGGCGTGAGCCTCCAGGACTGGCCCATGGTCACTTTCTTATGACACAAACAGGTAGGACTCTGAGATGGTGGGTGCCCTTAACCTCTGCCTCCAAACTGGCTCTGAGCAAGTCACCTCTCCCTGCAAACTTCAGCTTCCTGGGTGCTGGCGAGATCTCGCCTGCTCCCTGTCTGGTGTGGTCTGATGTGGTCTGTTCCACTGTCTGCCTCACCTTCTTCTTCCGTCCTGCTCCTGGGCTCTTTTGGCAGCCTGCTAGGAGGGGTCAGCAACCCCCGCTTTGGAGCAGCCGCTCTGCTCCCAATCTGCTCCAGGGGCCTGGCTGCCTTTCCATCCACTGCCCTTCAGGGATTCCAGGCACTCAGCTGCCTCACAGGCTCACCTGAGCTCCTCCACCTCACCTGTGCCTGTCTCCAGCGCTGAGCGCTTAGTAGGGGCTGCAGGGGGGGGGGGCCTTGCCCATCAACTGGAGGAAGCCTGCTTTAGACTCCAAACCTCGCTGCATGGTCAAATGCACACATTTCAGAATTGGCATTGATCAGGAAGATGATTTAAAAGCAGGAGGGTGTGTTTATTTAATAAAGGATCTCATTGCCCTCCCATCTGCAGCTCCTGGGAAATAGTACCTGGTGAGGCTGTGAAGCTGAGCATGGTAGTGTCTTCTGGAGTTAAATTTGGAACTGGGACAAGGTAGGAAAAAACTATGCTCATTGGATGCAAAATGCAATTGTCTGTCAGTGAGGAGCTGAGGTATCTGCAGCAAATTACATTTAAGACTCTATTGTCACAGGCAGATTAGCTAATGCTTGATTTTAAGTATAGGCTTCTAATGCTATTACTCCTGGTTAACTCTGCCTGGCAGGTAACCTTGTGGAACAAATCACTGCATTGCTTGAATAACATATTTGATCAAACAGGACAATTCTTTCAAAAATTGAGTTCTCTGTGGCAATTTGAGACCTGTAATCAGCAAATTAGATGATTACAGCAGGGATAAAAATAGTCTTCCAACAATGTCCAAGGTATAAATGTGATTTGAATTTCAAAATGTTGAACATGTGGTAGGAAAATGCACGGGTGGGTAAATAGGACTAGACGTTATCAGATTTGATTTCTCTTCCCATCTCGGCTCTGAGCTAGAGCCTAATTTGACCCAAATAAACTCGAATCTCGCTGGTGTCTTGAGGTGGAGGGTGGAAGTGTATCAGGAACAATACTCCACATCGTAGGGGGCTCCGCAGCTGTACCTTCCTGCCTCAGGAACTTAAGGTCACTGTGACCCCCCCCAACACCGTGGCGTTGTCCTCTTGGGAGGGAATGACTTCCTTCACACAATAAGCTGTCCACGTTCCCACTAAGGAAGGGGCTTTGGGGAACCTTGGACACCCAGCCCTAAGGACCAGTGTTTTCTTTCTTTCTTAGGCACAGGGAGCCAGAAAAGACAAAAATGATGTGCACTGTAGCAGGAGGATTCGGGGCGGGGGGACAGGGCATCAGGATGATCGTGCTGGGCCAGGGGATGCCAGGTGCTATACCATGGGGGTGCCGGGTGCTGGGCCATGGGGATGCAGGGTGCTATACCATGGGGATGCTGGGTGCTGGGTACGTGGATGCAGGGTGCT